ATCGACCCCCGGGCCTTGGTGGAGGTGGACGCGCCCCTCAGGTTTGGCAAGTGCAGTGAAAACTGGTTAGGATTCCTGCTTTCCAACTTCATGGAACAAATAATAAGTTAACTATATAGATTTGGAGACCTACGGAGTAGAGGCATGGAGACAGTAACCAGAAGCAGGCTTCTGGTTAGAAGTAACGATGAGATTGGGATTGACAGCAGGGGTGGCATCAATTTTCACAGGTGCTGTTTTAAGTTTTGTTTAGCTCTCCATTGACACCCACCTGTGATGGTTTGAAAGAAAATGGCCCCCAAAGGGAGTGGCACTAATGGGAGGAGTGGCCTTGTTGGAAGAAGTGTGTCACTGTGGAGGGTGGGCTTTGAGGTCTCCTATGCTCAAGCGACTCCCAGTAAGACAGACTACTTGTTGCCTGCATAAGATGTAGAACTCTCAGCTCCCTCCCCAGCACCATCTGTTTGCAGCTGAAATGTCCCTCCATGATGATAATGGACTGAACCTCTGAACCATAAGCCACCCAATTAAATGTTTTCCGTTATAAGAGTTTCTGTGGTCATGGTGTCTTCACAGGACAGAAACTCTTAAGACACCACCTTAATCTGTATTGTGGTAAAGCCCCCTCAGCACCTTCAGATTAGTACATGTGGAAGGCACAGCCTCTTAGTCATCTAGGCTAGTCAGGTGAGAAGCAACAGAGCATAAAGGCTGAGCCATTCCAGTCAGCTCAAATCCTAGCCTCATTTCTTTGCATTTAAGGCGGCAAGGCAGCTAGAAAGTAAATTTCACAATGCCTCATTCATTCACTCATTTTTAGCAGCTTGATACAAGGGTATCAAAGCTTGATACAAGGTTCCCTGGAAGAGGGAGCCTCAGTTGAAAAAATGCCTTCACCAGAGTAGCCTGTACGAAGTCTGTGAAGTATTTCTTGATTAATGATTGATGTGGGAGGGCACCACCCACTGTGGTTGTCCTGGGTTGTGTGAAAAAGCATGCTGAGAGGATCATGGAGAGTAAGGCAGTGTTCCTCTGTGATCTGTTTCAGCTCCTACCCTGAGTTTGGCCTGACTCTCCCTTGTGATAGACTGAGCTATGAGATAAACCCTTTCCTTCCCCAATGGCTGTGGTCAGTGTTTGATCACAGCAACAGTAACTAGGACAATAGTGTTTATTTCTGAACTCTGGAAGTCATTAATATTAATGTGAATTGCATATTCATTATCACTGCTTCCAAATTTTTGTTGTTTAGTTGTTGTTTGTTTGTCTTTTGATACAGAATCTCTCTACAGAGTCCCGGCTGTCCTAGAACCCACTATGTAGCCCAGGCTAGCTTTGTACAGCTGAGAATGCCACCTGTGATTCCTTATTTTTCATTTTTTTCAAATCTATCCACTATTTTATAGCTTTAATTCTTATCACTAGGTTTTTAAAAAGTGTTTCTGGTTATTAAAAATTATTTCAAGTACCATGTGAAATAGCTGTATGGCAATGTTCCCATTTGGAGTTGTGAAAGCTGGAGTAGAATTTGAAAGCCTGGGTCTTGCTCACACACACTGACCCATGCTATTGTAATGAGTATCTGACTAGGCACTGACTTTTCCTTCTTTCTGCTTTTTCTCCCAGACTTGAGCATCGAGTCATCAGGATCAGGCTCTGTAACGGTGCAGAATATTGAATGTGACTGCTGTAGAATTGACACTGCCCAGGGGACCAGCATCCTGCAGTCTGTGAAGGTAGGAGTGTGTCTCTCACTGTGCGCTGGTGGCAAAAATACCTTAAACTGTAAAGCACAGAATCAAACTACAAGCCTTAGTTTTTTTATTCAGGTTGCTATCACTCTTTTACAAAGTCTTCGAAAAAATTTGCCTTAACGCACAAATGTTACAGCGACTTTGAAGGTCTTACTCCTTCTTCCTTGCTTCTTTTCTTCCTCTTGTTTCTATTATTTTTAGATGTCATTTAAGAGTGTCATGAAACTCCAAAGTATTTTTTTAGGATTTTGAGATAACACTACTGTTTAAAAATATTAGTTTTGCAACATTTTCTTCTGCTTACTAAAGAATAAAGAAAGTCTTTATGCACTATAACTGTGCTTAAAATATGGCCCCTTCACTCATTTTTAATATTCCAGAAGCTCTTTCCTGGAGTACTAGGTAGCCAGTTTTGCAGAACAACAGATGATTCATCTTACTTTATAATTAACAATTTTACACTGTATTTCTTAAAAATGAGATTGGTCTTAGCCACAAATGTTTTAAATTATACCTCTGTTAGGGAGTTTGCTGTTATTTTTGTAGCAGGCTTTCTTTTGGGGGCCGCCAACCAGATCCCAAATCATGACATGGAGAATTACTATTAACTATGAATGTTCAGCCTTAGTTTAGGCTGGCTTCTTATCAGCTCTTATAGCTTACTTGTTTCTCTTCATCTAATTTTGCCTCAGGCCTTTTTACCTTTCTTTCCTTCTTCGTATCTTACTTTCACTGCTTCTCATGACTGGTGGCCGCCTGGCTTCTGGCCCTGGGTGTGTCCCTGTCTTTCTCCCTCATTCTCTTCTCTTCTCTTCTCTTCTCTTCTCTTCTCTTCTCTTCTCTTCTCTTCTCTTCTCTTTCGAGCCTAGAGTCCTCCTCCTCGTTATTCTCTCTCCCCACCAGCTCTGTCAGTCCCTCTCTTGCTTACCTATTGGTCGTTTAGCTTTTATTAGACCAATCAGGTGCCTTTTGTAGGCATGGTGAAACAAATGCAACACATCTTTACATAATTAAACAAATACAGCTCAGACAAATGGAACACACCTTCACATAGTTAAAGTAATATTCCACAGTTCTAGCATTTTCAGGGTGAAAACATAATACTTTGTAACATTTTGTAGAACTTGGTCATTTCTGTATTGTAATTGCAGTGCTTTAACTTTAAAACTATTAATTTGAATGATTGGTGCATTCTGTTTTTGCCCCTTTTGTTTATTTGTTCATCTTTATCTGGGCACCTGACTTTTACACCTGTCTACATATGAGGCTGCTTAAAAGAATATATATATTTGATTCACATATATGTAATTGTGCAATAAAATCTTCATCTTGAGTGACTAATTGGTTAAGAATACTATAATTTCTTTTCTTCCTTAGAAATACTTACCTGCTCATCGATGCTTTAATTTTGGTGAATTAATTTTGTAGGCTTCACATTTGGGTTCTGACTCTAGTCTGCTGCTTGCTGTCTATCTCTTTGCATTCATGTTTTCAACTGGTGGTCCTAAAAGATCTGACTCTGTCAATTTCATCTCTTCTTGCCACTGTGGGTGTAAATGCAATGATTTCTTCACTCATGACACTTTGCCATTTTGGGCATGGGGTTTTTTTCTTTGGATCCTATTGGATGTGAGATGTTTAGTGGCAAACCCTGGCCTTTGCCTCTCAGATGCCACTAAGACACACCTTGGTTGTGAAAGGGAAAAACTGTCTCCAGACATTGCCACATGTCCTCTGGGGACAGATCGTCTCCAGCTGGAAGAACCTTAATAGAACTGGGCCATGCTTGTTCCTTAAAGCATAACTGAGAATAACTAATACAAGAATGAAACAGTACAATATTTTAAGACACCATAGTATTGCTTCCTTTTTAACATTAAATTTATAAGAATTTTATATACAGAAATTTCAAGATAGAGTTTAACTCTATTTTTAAAGTACATTTTGTATTTGTTCTGTGTAAGACTTAAAAAAGAAAAACAAAGCCATGAACTAGCAGTCTTTACAAATAAAGTAGCTCAAAAAAGAATTAGAAGAACTTAAGCTGATACTGGAGCTGCTGGTTAGCTTATGGCAACTTGACATGAGCTAGAGCCAACTTTGAAGAGGGAGATTTAATTGAGGAATTGCCTACCTGTACGTAAGTCTGTGGGGCATTTTCTTGACCAATGATTGATGTGGGATGGCCCAGCCCACTGTAGCAGTACCATCCCTGGGCTAGTACTCCTACGATATATAAGAAACCACGCTGAGCAAGTCAATAAGTAGTAATCCTTCATGGTCTCTGCTTAAATTCTTGCATCCAGGTTCTTGCCTCGGCATCCCTTGATGATGGAATGTAATCTGTAATTCAAGAAAACTCTTTCTTCCCCAATGTTGGTTTTGGTCAGTGCCTTATCACAGCAACAGAGGAAACAAAGTAAAAGAATCATTCTTGTAATGTTGGCCTTAACTAACTCACATTCATGAATGCAAGCACTTTTGTAAATAACCTGGCTTAGGTTGTTAAAATATGGTACAATATTATCTTGAATCAGTGATTATCTGTTAATATGTCTACCTTTTCATAGGGCTACATATGTATAAAATAGCATTTTAATAACTAATTACTGCTAGTGAATTGTTAGTGTGTACTGAGAATCTCAGCTAAGCCTTGTTAATATTTCAAGAATGGAAACTAGAGCCGGGTGTTGGTGGCTCACGCCTTTAATCCCAGCACTCGGGAGGCAGAGGCACGCTGATCTCTGTGAGTTCGAGGCCAGCCTGGTCTCCAGAGCAAGTGCCAGGATAGGCTCCAAAGCTACACAGAGAAACGTTGTCTCGAAAAAGAAAAAAAAAAAAAAGAATGGAAACTAGGAGGCAACAAAAGATGGAGGAATGCACTCACTCAAGCTCACAGAGCTAAAGTAGTTGAGCTGGGATTTGACCTTAAGTTGGTGGTCCCTAAGCTCAAACTGCTCAGCTCTCTTTACTAGCTGAGGAAGACATGGTAATGTTGTATCTATTCAGCATCCTTAAGGAATAAAGCAAATGAATGTCATACATCTGTGTTTTAAAAAATGTAGAACAATAATTTCCCCCAGCATTTTTTGATTTATTTCCACTTTTTAAAAATGTCCATATTGTGTGGGAGTCAGGTGAGTGTCAGATTACAATAGCTAGATCAGTGTCTTTAAGCCTTAGGCCTCTTCAAAAAAAAAAAAAAAAGAAAAAAATCTCATGATTATTGTTTCTCTCTAAAATAAATGAACATATATATGAAAGTTTGCTTACAACTTCATAAATTTCAGAGACACTCCAGAAATTCACTTAATTTCAGTTAAGAGCTTTAGATAGGAAAGCAGAGTTACTTTAGAAATAGATCTTTCTAAAAATTCATTAATAACTTGGGTTTTAGATTTACATCTGTGACCATGATGAAGTTAACCACACTGAAGGCAAATCCTTGTGGGAACAATTTGTTTTGCTCTTTTCAATACTTTCCTTAAAACTGACTGCTGGGTTATTTTATGGACATGCACAGAAGAAAATGTTTCCGTAGTATCATGCAAGCTTACTCTCCCTACCCTCTGTGTTTGTTTTGTTTTTCAGAGCCAAAAATTACATGTTCAAACAAAAGGAGGCAATGTGAACTGTCTGGGAACAATTTATGGAAATATAGATATTCATGCATCACGTCAAAGTGTAAGAGTGAAACTCTCTCCTTAACTTCAGCTTTGCTTTTGATTCCCCACAAATGGTATAGAATTTGTGGTGTAATATTTTCTTTTTAGTGCATTTAGTTCCTTAATGAGCTCATGTTTGGAATTGAAGTGACTAAATGCCTATAATTTAAATTTTAGTGTGTGATTTAATGCTTTTGATAGTTATTTATGTGATTAGAATTAGTAAACACTTCATATTTAATTCTGACTTGCCTAAGGAGACTTCTATTTTGATGGTCATGAATTAAAATACCGAATTAAGTAATCCCATCAGTGTGGATGGGTTTTTGTGGGTGCTGGGTTTACTTGAATTCTGTGTTCTCCCAGGCTTGCTGCTTTTTGTCTAGTTGAAGGTAAATTCTGAAACATGTGTGCACCTGTGGACAGCACAGAATTGACTCCTGGGTTTTGAAAAGAGGACATGATGTTGGGAGAGGACACGGCAGCAGGGGCTTCTGGATGAACTGGGATGAAATGAGCGGTTGATATGCTAACGATCCATTATATACTCAGAGAAGTAATATAAAAATTGAAAAACCATGTGAAAGTCAGCTTCTCCAGTGTTTCCACAAGGCGGCACTGTGAGACAGAGCTACTGTTTCCAACCCCTACCCACCCTGTTACCCCAGAGATTGTTACAGAAAGATGTTTTGCGTTTTACATCAGCTATTTTACTGCTTCCAGTAACTTATCATACTCTTAATAGCAAAGGTAAATTCTGGGGACTGTGAATTTTCAGTTGCTACTGTGTTGAACAGTGTTTTAAATCTTAGAAGAAAAATCTAAATCTGATAGTGAAGGTTATGAGCATATCCTGTAGCTTACTGTTGGCACAATTTTTAAAAAATTATATTACATTTTATTTATTCATTTATTAGGGTGTGTGTGTGTGTGTGTGTGTGTGTGTGTGTGTGTAGACGCACATGTGGAGGTTAGAGGAACACTTGGTGGGAGTCAGTTCTGTCCTTCCACCACGTGGGTCCTAGTGATCACACTGAGGTTGTCGGGCTTGCACAGCTGCCTTTGCCCACGAGCATCTGCTGGCCCATTGCTGGAACAGTTACAAAAGGTGGATAGTAGCATTGTTTCTACTCTTGTAAATTTCCCAACACTTTTTCTTAGAATCTGTGGGAAGCTGTTTAAACTAAATATTTAAGTATATAATAAAGCTTTTAAGTTAAATTAGGAAAGTGTTTCGAGAGCCTACAGCCTTACTTACATCATCACTGAGATGACCTTTAGTTTTTTCAGTCACATTACTGTCTCTTCAGAGGTACAACAAGCAAACTTAGAAGTTCCTTCAAATCAACCCTTGCATTAATGGGTACTGTTGTTTGAAATTATATTACATGTAATGTTACTATAAGATTACATGTTCTCTCTGGGGGGTGGTGCATGTCAACACAGGCTGTCTTTCTCAATTGCTGGCCACCGTGTTTTTGGAGACAGGGCTTCTCACTGAACTTGGAGCTCCAGAATTTTGACTAGGCTGGCCAGCCAATGAGCTCCAGGGATCTGCCTGTCTCCACCTTCCCAGCACTGGAGTTACAAACTTGTGGTACTAGGTTTTGACATGGGTGCTGGGGATCCCAACTCAGGACCCATGCTTGTCTGTCAAGCCCAGTATCCCTAGCCCAGTATTACATGCTTCAATCAGATGTGAGTGTCAGAAATTTAAATCATGCTATTTTGAATAATTTGGCCACATTGCATTAGTTGTTAATTTGTTCCAACTGACATGGGTAATTGAACATTACTCCTACTACCTGTCTTTTGTTTCTTTCTTGAATTTGGTGATGTGCTAAAGACTTAGTATAGATATTTTTTCCTATGTTTCCTGCATTGCATAGTTTCAACTTTTAAAACATTTACAAGTTTATTTAAAGACATAAAAATTACTTGCTGGTTAAGAGCACACAAACTTCCTGACTCATCTACTTACTAAGTTTTGTGACTTTAGACAAGTTACTTAACACTGTGTGTCTCCGTTTTCTGGAAAATATGATTGTAGCAAAGGACAAGTAAAGTGGTTTAATTGGGTCTTGCATATGGCCGACTCTGGCATGGGGCTTGCTTACAGAAAGGATGAAGGGGAAACAACTATGGAATAGAGCATCTGTACATTACTTCTCTGGACCTGCATATCTCAGTTCAAGAGATGGATGGAAGTATTGCTTACTTGTGCAAACAAGATAATGAAATTAAATGGACATCATAAACAATAGCACTGTCAGCTCTGTGGCTGTTTTAAATGATGTTAGTGAGAATCAACCTTTATAACTTAACAAAAAACATAGACATTTTATGTGACTACAGGTTGAATTAATGACACCGTTGTCACTTTTCTTTTTGTCTGGACTACAGAGTCATAGTACTTCCTAAAAGACTTGATTTTTTTTGTTACTTGTAAGAACTGTTTTTATATGTATGTACATACGTATGTACGTATGTATGTATGTATGTACATATATTAGCCAAGTATAGGGGAAAATCCCTCCTTATGTTAAAATTAATTTTAGCAATACCTCTCAGGAAGGTATTTATTTTCTGATCTACATTTTGTTCTCTCTAAATAATTTCTGTTAAAAATCAGAGTATACAATTTAATCTAGGGAGTCTATGTATGACACTGTAATATAAATAAGATTAAATAAAATTTTGTCATTATTTTGCTGACAACTAAGCTAACCCAAGTTTAACTTTTTGAGTTAGTATCTGACATGGTTCAAGTGCTTATGGTTATGATATGTGGCCCTTGGAGAATTTAGAATTTTTGGGAAATTGTATAAATGATTGGCAGCTGTAGTGTGTTGGTGATTTGTGCTGGGATTTTACTTGCTTTCGGTTGCTTTGGTAGTACAGGGTGTTTTCTGGCTTCCTAGGGATGTATTTAGTTTTTAACAGCAGGACAGATCCTTGACATTTTCCAGATACTCATAAAGAGTGTCTTGAAACCCAGCTTTATTTCATGGGGTGGTAGGCAGTGTCTAGGTAGAAGTGCTCCTTAGCTAATTCAGGATGCTTTCAAATGTTCCATTAAATGTTCCTCTTTTGATGTAAAACAGTCCCATTCCCTATTGAAATATTCCAGAATATTCCATTTTGATCCCTGTTTTATGGAAATTCTTGGACATTGTGAAACCATGAACACTAAGCAAGTTTTCATGAGTAGAGTTTGTAGGCAAAGACTTTTTTGTCAGGAGTTTTATGCCTTTACTGTAAGCCTATAGAAGATAAAAATGTTTAATTCTGGTAAATCCATTTATAAGTAAATTATTCTTATTTTTTTGAAACTAGATTTAAAGTAAAAGTTCCTGTCCGTCCGTAATCAACTTAAGATAATCAAGTAGTTAAAAAGCAGTATCATGATATACGTTCTTAAAAAATACAGGAAGTTACGTACTCTGAATCCAGAGGGCAAAGTAGTTTTAACCTATGTCCATTAGACCCTCTGACTACTTTTCTTTCTCATTTTGTACTGTCTTTAGTATTTTGTTTTTGAAACTCAATCTTGTCTGGTAAGATTTGTTAACATTCTTAACGGTTTTTGGGAAACTTGTGAGGAGGGGTGTTCAGAACAGTTATACTGTTGGTTTAAATGCCTTGGTGTACTGGGCAGAATTGTGGCAAACCATCCTAGTAACGGAGTGTGTAGTGCCAACATTTTCATATTAACACATCTTTGTTCATAACATGGTAGAGATGTTGTGGAATTCCCAACTGTCTTCGTTTTACATGGCAAACAATATTTGAAACATAAACATATACTGAATTTTGTTAGGAAAATTTAAGGATGAAAAAATTCCTCTCATTTTGTTCACTGGCAAGCTTGCTCCTTATTAAATGTACAGTGAAATGTTTTAGAAGGTTACAGTTACCACCAACATGTGACAAAAAAACATGTAGCTCAGCAACAACGAAGATTGTGAGGCTCAAAATGCATCCATGGATTTACTATAGAAGTAACAGTACATGTGGTGGTTTAGTCAGATGAAAGATGCATACAGACATCTCTGTAACAAGCATCACACTCCTGCTGAGATGCTGAGAAAAGCAGGAAGATAAGGTAGGCTACTCTTCATCTAGTTGCTACTGTTCACTGCTGAATTGGAAGATGGATCTAGACATAAGGAAAAGAATGAAAAAACACAGAGAATGTAATTAATATAAGAATATGTAATAGAAGAGAGGGGATAGAGTGATCATTTGGAGATCATAGATTATGCATGGGAAATTTTTTCTAATGCAAATAAATTAATAGAATTGGTGAGTTTATTGTGGTTACTAGATTAAGTTCAAATATAAAAATCAAGAAAACATGAACTTTAAAAAAAACATTGTGTAAAAGCACTTTAAAAATATCTGTAGGAGAAGTTTATCCATGTTGGACTGTGTAAGGCCTTTATGTGACCCAGAGACAACATGGTGATTCATTCCTCAACTCAGAGAGCTATAATCTCCTAATTTTATGCTGCCTTAGGATTTAAAACAATGATCTGCAAGCTGGCCTATTAGAAAACATAGCTAATGCTGAAATAAAAGGGTATCTTTTAGAATAAGGGCAACTTAATTAGAACAAATTTATATTTTTCATAGCATTAAACAGAAGTGGTATTTTGTTTATTGGGCCTATAAATATATTGAGGGAAAATCATATCTAAGTTATGTGGATTTGGATTTTAATGTATTTTATTTGTTTTTCTGAAAACTCATCATTAAAGCATAATAATTTCCTTAAATTTTGAAAAAAAATATCTGTAGGAATAAACTAATAAGATAAATTCTACAAAGAAAATGTAAAACATTATTAAGGAAACTAGAGAAGGCATAAATAAGTGGAGGAGTCGTGTGTTGGCTCTATTCCCTGTTTTACAGAGAATGCATGCTGCTCACAGTCTCTGCAGCCAGAGTCAGGGAGCCCAATGGTAAGGTGATTGTGTCCTTCTCATGGACTTGGTCATCATTCTAGATCAGCGGTCCTCACCCTTCCGAATGCTATAACCCTTCAATGCAGGTCCTCATGTTGTGGTGACCTCCAACCATGAAACTATTTACTTGCCACTTCATAATTGTGATTTTGCTACTGTTAGGAACTGTGATGTAAATATCTGACATGCAGGTTATCTGATATGTGACCCCTGTGGGGGTTGGGACTCACAGGTTTCGAGCTGCTGTTCTAGATGAACTGTTTGGTTGTTTATAGTTTGTTTTATAATGAACTGATTAGAGTCTCTCTTTTACTAGACTGTGACCGTAGATAAACTTCAGGGAAGTTGTGTTAATATATCTACAGAAGATGGTATGCTAAAAGTCAAGTATCTTTATACAGAGTCTTCATTTCTGACTTCTGCTGCTGGGGATATTGCATTAGGAAATGTTCACGGTAAGCTGACAAAGGCCTAGTGTATCTCAGACTTTCCACAAAGCATAAAATTTAAGAGATGACTATTCAAGAGGGAACAGGGAACTGGTCTTCTAGATAATTAATTGCAGACTAGCCATCCTTTTAAAAATCTATGAAAATAAACTTACTTACAAGCTAATTTAATTTTATATCGACAAAGCAAATAGTAGTTCTGATTTTTTAAAAAGATTTTTATTGTTTTACATTGTGTGTGTGCATGTATGCATGTGCATGTATGTGTGTGCATGCCATCTCTCTAGCCCCGGTAGCTGGGCTATTTAAAAGAATTTTTATAAGAGGAAACAATATCCAAGAGATGAAATAAAAGCAGCATTAATAAAGATTGGATTCTTAGTGGTTACTTTTCATGATAGGAGAGGTAACAGTTAAGTGAGTTAAATGTTTAGGTAGATCAAATTCTAGAAACTCTGATACTAATTTTGGGTACAATGTATTAATGTGTATTGGTACTGGCAAAGTCCTCTTTGCAATGTTTGAGACAGGTTTTCTCTGTGGCTTTGGAACCTGTCCTGGCACTGGCTCTGTAGACCAGGCTGACCTCATACTCACAGAGATCCGCCTGCCTCTGCCTCTGCCCCTGCCACTTGGTGTCTCCTGTGATGTCCCAAACATATCTCCACAGAGAGCAGCATTACTTAGTTAATGTTTATAGCATGGGAAGAAAAAGAGGAAAGGCAATGGGGAGATGCTATGGCTGAAGGCTGCTGATGGTCCGTGTCGTTCTACCTCTTTATGTTTCCACAGAGCAGATGATGCAAGTCCAGGGGTATTTCCTGATGTGTGTGTGAGTAGTGTAAGACACACCTAGTCCTTGAAAGACGAACGTTCAGTGTGTGCACATCTGCACAGACACACGTACACACATACACATCTGCACGTACTGGTCTGTTGGGCCATCTTCCAGGAAGTGTGGACTTGAACATTTTTCCATAGCTAGTCCACTCATTTCACTTTTTAGTAAGGCTGAATATTGGTGTCTGTACATTTTGCAGCATTCCGTCATTTTAGTAGTGAGCATAAATGAAGTTGTATTAGGATTGGCTAGTGCTAGCCATGCCAGCCAGTAACACATCTGCAGCTAGTCTTCTGTTAGAGAGAGAGTGCTTTGGTGATTAGAATAACCTTTTCCCTGCAGTGTAATGACTAAGCCCAACAATCCCTACACTGATAACATTATTGAACCTAAAATAGAGCAGAGCTATATCCAAATAAAACAAATGGTTTTCTGACCTTTTGTTACCAGTGTGTATTTAGTTCTAAGTAGTAGTAATGCAATAGTGAAATAATAATAATTTTGTAATTTCATATTTTGAATGACTTCTAATAAGCATTACAGTTCTATGGTGATCTTAATTAAGGTATTATACCTAATACACCAAGTAGATTTTGGTGTGAAACAATTCCTTACCAAGTTAGATACTGATTGACAAACACTACAGGAAAAATAGCTATTTCTATTAGGCTTAATACCATGTTTATACTCAATGAATTAATGGTTAATATTTTATTTCTTTGACTTTAAGACAGGCAGAATGGAATTTAGGGAAACTTACCGCTATTGAGCACATTTCTAGATCTGATGATGAAAGTAACTGAAATAAATATTGCTAGGGACAAGAGTTCAGCCTTTTGCTTTTATAAAGCTTTTGCATATTTACTGACTTTAATGTGAATTTAAGTATACTTCCTTATGTGGCTTAAGTGTAGGTTTCTTCTGCAGTACTGTCTCTGGTATGGCTTCCCCGAACATAGAACACTAAGATGGAGATGAGGATGCCATGCATTTACTGCAGAGACTGCTTGGTCCATCCTTGTCAAGGAAAGGAATACAGTCCCCATGGAGAAGCAGGACTGTGTAAGCCCTCTGCCATCCCAAGTGCAGCTCTGAAGCTGGCATGGCTCCTCAGAGTTGTCTCAAGTTGTAGTGAGGGACACTGGAGCTTTACATCCCGGGTCACTAGATCCCAGCTGCTCTAGGAAGGAGGGTGATCTTGGGCCAACATGGCTGTCTTCAGTTGAGGCAGTTTCCAAAGAAGGCTGTCTGCCTTCAGGTGTGATGGGGGCTCTGCAGGAGGAATGATAGCCTCTGCTACAGTCACATTTATTTATTAACACAGTTACTGACTGGCTACTGTGTGCCAGATTTCTAGGCACCAGGAGTGTGGCGTTGGGCAAGAAATGATACGCACATTTAAAGAACACACAGTTGTATGAAGGACTTCCGTCTCACTTCCTCTGTCTTCCTTCCAGCTCCACTTGTTGTCCCCTTTCACCCCATATCAAAGCAACTTTCTCACAACTCCTTTTGTAACTCTGGTGCATCAGTGAGCAAGGGCAAGAGAGGGAAAATTTGATTTGGTTGCTTCTATGTTCAGCCAGTCCCTGCCCCCTCAACACCCCGATTCTTTGGTCCTCAGTCTGCTTGGTTGTTTCGGTGCAGACAAGAGAGAAGTTAGAAAGGAACCCTTACCCATCCCTTACACCAGTGCTTTGACTGTTTGTTGTAAACCATGGAGGTTAGCCTAAGTTTCCTGCTCCTTCTTCCAAGTTGCCTGTCCTCCATCCTGCTTCCAGGAGCTTATAGGATTGTGCTGTTGAAGCTTGGAGTGCGAAGGTAGGATGGAGGTGGGGAAGCATGTAGGTTTCCACAACCTAGGAAGACCCTGAACATACATTTCAGTGAACCCAGGTGGTTGTGTAATACAATATGAAAATATATTCTAAGACCTGCCTGTCTGGGATTTATTTAGTGTGGCTGTTTTCTTAAGGTTTAAACTCATTTCTCCTTTCAGTTAGAACTGAAAAAAATCCTTTCAAAGGATCATGTTTTGTTTCCCAAGTTTTAGAAGTTATGACTTGCATATGGCATAGTGAGGCTTTTCTTCCCATCTCTCCCATGTACTACCCCTCAAATCATCCAAAGGAAAAGGCCCCCAAAGGGTGTGGCACTATTAGGAGGTGTGGCCTTGTGGGAGTAGGTGTGGTCTTTTTGGGGGAGCTTTGAGATCACATATATGTATGCTCCAGATACAAGATATAGTTCTCTAAGCTAGTTCTCTAGCTGTTTGCTTGCATGGTGCTATGTCCTGCCATTGGAAAACACATAGTTACCATAGGCCGGCCAAATGCTTCTGACTTAATGGGGAATGAAAAACTTTCACTAAATTTGGTTCATTTATTATTTCACTGATCAATATGAAATAGATGAAACCAAAACATGGATAATTATACTAATAATGGCCATTGTTGATTTACATACTTTTATGTATTCTGATTTATTCCATAAAATAGCTAAGACAGAAGTTCATTTTGTATATTCTGATGAGTTTGGAATATTTCTGTTTAAGGTAGATATTTTCTAAACATTTTGGTGTGAATTGAAAATTTTTTGTGTCTTTAACATATTTTAATTAATATTTCATTATATCACCTTCCCCTAACTTTTCCTCCTTTTAACCTGTCTTATGTTCCCCCATCTCAAATTAAGGCCCTCTTTTTCATTATTATTGGTCTTATTATTGGTGTGTGTGTGTGTGTGTGTGTGTGTGTGTGTGTGTGTGTATGTAAATACACATCTTTGTTGTTTAGTCATCACTAAAATTTGTTTTGGCTTTTTGAGACAGGGTTTCTCTGTGTAGTTGGCCTAGAATTCACTCTGTAAATCAGACTGGCCTGGAACTCACAGAGATCTGCCTACCTTTGTCTTCCAAGTGTTGGGATTAAAGGTGTGTGCCACCACCTCTCAGCAAAAATATTTTTGAAATATTCTAATAACCATTCTTTAGATTCACAGCTTTTTGTTCCATTATGTTCTTCACTGTATAGTAGAACTCTACTATTCAAGAGGGGTATTATTAGATACATGTCACTATAATGAGAAGTAGTGTTCATTCTGTGTGGATTTTAAGCTTTTGTTTTTTAGCTGTAATAGTCATTTTCTCAAGACTTCATATCCAACCAAGTTTGAGAGGATCATATTTTCATTTAAAGATAATATTTTGCTACATTAATTTAAGACTATTTTAAGTGTATGGGGCTCAATTTTCTTATGTATGGGTGACTGTACTCACTAGCTAAGTGACTATAAAACTGTCTTAGTTCTAGGGTGGCCTGGCCTGGCTGGGTCTCTGACTTAAGATCTCTTCTAGGATTATAATCATGATGTCATCATGGGCTGTGAGATCTTGTCAGCAAGGGTAAATATGGCTCCATGCCTACTCATGCCTGTTGTCAGAATGCAACTTATCCTGTTAGCTAGAGGCCTCTTGATTTCTTTGTCAAATGGCCTATTTCTAGGGGCAATTGACAGTGTTACAGCTGACTTCCATGAGAGTAGCAGGGGACTAGAAATACAGTATCAGTTTTATAACAGAATCATGGACACGACAGCCCAGCACCTTTCTCCTGCTTTCTTGGTTATAAGCCATCTGGCCCACACATGATGGAAGAGCATTCAAAGGGAGGCGTGGGAGCTAGGAGGGAGGAAGAGTGGGAACCACGTTAGAGCTGTATGCTTTTGGCCACTGTTTGTATGTGATGGTAAGACTATATTTACAGGGTTGGAAAATTGGAAGAGTATATAGAGCACACCAGTGAAGTAATATTTATGTAACACATTTAACAAGATATTCAAAGCCATGGAATGTCCTAAGACATAAAATAATTTTATGGGCTCCATTGAAACCATGCTCTTATTCTTAAATAAATGTCCCCCTTGTTCTTGTACTCACATTAAGTGTGGTGGAATGTTAGACCTTTACAAGCATGTTTGCCATCATGCATGTCTGATTATTGGGCAAATGAATTGTGTCTTTCTTTTTACTTTGTACAGAAATTGGCATCCTAGTATATGCAAAATATATGACATAATTTAGAATTGATTAATTAATTTTGAATTAAAATTGAATTGATTAATTTTGAATTCAAGTTATTCCTTATTTCTGTAGTTTTGGCTTATATTAGAAGAGATGTGTTATTTCATACATTTGGGGGGAGAAGCTATAATTTTCTGATTCTAGAAGTACTTGTACCCACAGTCCACATCAGAAGAACAGTCCTGTTTTTAAACTAAGGGGGCCGAGAAGAATGGTTGCACCACCCTACCGTAGTTCTGGAAAATGTATTTTGATTGCATAGTGCAAAGCTTTGAAGCATTTTTGTTAGTCATACATCTGTGTATTCATTATTGATATGCCAAATCACTGTAACACTTTGCTCAGAAACTACTTTAATCCAACAGATGTGGCAACTGGCCTAAAAAAAATCCATGAACAATTTGTGTTCCTTGGCTAACTAAAATTTGGCTTTGTGCGGTCTAATTAATGAGCTGATGTTGATGTTCAGGATGAAAATGTGGAGGGAGTGTATTTTATCAGGGTGTGATTGTTTCATAGCTATGCTATGAAACCTTCAGTGTGGGAAGACAGGTGGAGATTATATGCCTAAAGTCATTTGTTTCAGACCACAACAGTAGTGGTATTAAATGGCATTATGGATATATAGCTATCCATTAGGATTCCTTATAACACAGTTCCTTCTCCATTATCCCTGGTAATTTGAAATTCTTGTTTTCTCTCTTTTGCAGGAAATATCACATTACAAAGCAAGATGGGTAATATTACAGTTGGTATGTGGTCAAGACACTGGTTGGTAATGGCTTATACCATCTATAGTTGTGATGCTTTATTAAAATCTATAGTCTGTCTCACAAGCCTCACTTGCTACAATGCTCATGTATGAAGGTCAAGTATGAATGTGTTGGTTCAGAAAAAATGCCCTGGACCTAGTATTAAGAAAGAAAATCATAAAAATGTCTTGAGTTCTTTAAATAGCTATATTAACTCTTTGAAAGAAAGGTATGATATATATTGTCTCCAAAGCTGTTATCATTGGAAGTCATCCAGCAGTACACCAGTACCTTTTCATCTGTGTTGATGACTGTCTGCTATACGTCAGGAATTCTTTTGCTACTAGGGAATATATTAGTCAGCAAGACTACTCATTTTATCTAGGAGCTGTCATCTCTGAGTGCCAGAAAGAAAAAAAGAATAGTCATATAAATGACAAATGGTGATTTTAGATCACCATAAGTGCAATGAAGAAATAAGTAATGGGATAGAGATTGCTTGTGAAAAAGAACGTTACTGTAGTTAGGTAATCAGAGAAGAGGGACATTTTAATTGAGGTTACCAAAATCACAGCTACAAGGCTTATAAAATTATGCATACAGAGCTCCCACACAGAGATGGCAAGAACCAGCCTTAAAAATGGAATGGTTCGCCATTTTTGAGGATGTGGTAGATGTAGTAGGAGATGAAGTGAGACTATTCCTTAGAACCTGTGTATGTGGATTAGGAGCTTTATCAGAACAAGAAGGTTCAGAGGATGGCTGTCATATGTTCAGGTTCAAGTTGCTCAGCCTGTAGTGTTATAGAATATTATTTTAAGGTGTGTTACATTTGTTTATGCTCTGAAACATTTATGTAATGATTAAAGACGTGTTGCTTTTGTATATGCTGAATTTGTTTAACTCTGTGAAGCTATGTTATTTTGCCTGTCTAAAACACCAGATGGTCTAATAAAGAGCTGAACAGCCAGTAGTGAGGCATGAGCTAGGATAGGCAGTGCTGGCAGGCAGAGAGTATAAATAGAAAGGGGAAACCTGGGAACAGGGGAGAAATGAGAGAACAAGGAGAGGAGGACACTAGGGGCCAGCCAGCCAGCCAGCCATAGAGGAAGAATGGAAGTAAGATTTATAGAAGTAAGAGAAAGGGGAAAGCCCAGGAGCAAAAGGTAGTTGGGATAAGTTAAGAAAAGATGGCTAGACACAAGCCAAGCTAAGTAAGAATAAGCCTCCATAGATTTATTTGGGAGCTGGGTGATGGGCCCTCAAAAGAGCAAAGAGCAAAAAGAGTAATAAAGCTACCAATGACATGCAGTATCTCTCTTTCTAAGACAAGACCGTCCTGAAATTAAAATGAGGGCCAGGAGAAAGCAAGGCCAATGTGTTGGTGGCGGGATAGGAGTACTAGCAGAAATGCTTGTCTCGCTCTACTTTGTCTGCTCCCTGTTAACTCTTCAAGAGTTGTTTCTTCCTTTGAAAAGTTGAACACAGTTTGCCTCACACATCTCCCAGAGGCCTGTTTACCCCTTCCTACTTATGGAATGCCTAGAAAGGACCTCTTAGAAAATTGAAGTTGCCTTAAAATTCTACCTTTTCAAACATTTATATGCCCTGTGTATATAAGCTGCCTGCTCTTGACTCTGTATAGTTTTAAGAGCATAGGAATCAGTTAGCAAACAACTTGTTCCTCCTTTATAACCTGAAAGTTGAAATTTAAAAAATTAAAAACTTGCTTTGAACATGCATGTCCAATTTTGAGAGAATTTTCCATTTATCTAAAAGAAAACAAGTTTAAAATGTTAGCTTTTCAAGCTTAGTTGTTTTTTTCCTGTCAACAAAATATGTGTTACGAATGCATGTTTCTTTGCTTGAGTCTGGTGTTAAGCTGGTGGTTTTGGAACCTATCCTGGCACTCGCTCTGTAGACCAGGCTGGCCTCGAACTCACAGAGATCCGCCTGCCTCTGCCTCCCAAGTGCTGGGATTAAAGGCGTGTGCCACCAATGCCCAGCATCTACAATATATTTTTACATGGCTTCTTTTAGGGTTTAATAAAGGTTTTCAATGAAGTTTCTGTTGGAACTCACCTAGCAGTTAATGTAGCCTGTCTCTCTGTCTCCTATCATTTACCTAATGTCTTCACTTAGTTATGTTGGCATTTACATTTGACACTTGGAAACTAATAATTGGGGTCTCATAAAGAACACTTTGGTGTAGGTTGGAGACAAATAATTCTAAATGATCTTTGTGCTGGATCTTGAATAATTCATTTCAAAGTTTGATTGAAGTTATTTAAAATTTTAAAGAGAAACATTGCCTTTGTGGATAATATATTTTCTCTTCATATTTTATAAAAAGTATTATTTCTCACATAATTTTCATCACAGTTCCTAGTTTGCTTTTCAGTTGAAGTCATAAAAGCTCTTGATAAAATGTGCTTTTAAGAGGCCCCTGAATAGAATGTTTTCTGGCCTTCTCGGCACAGTCAGGCTGGGTATAACAAAGTTTTGGTGGCCATGGGGGTTAGAGTAGATGACCCTTAGCACTGACACTTCAAGTCATTCTCCAATTTCCTTGTCTGACTTTGTTTCTCCTTTACCTTAAACTGTTGGACTATTGAAAACAAGAGTCATTGACAACATCAGGAAGATTGAGTTCATATAAGGATTAACTTAGTTATTATTTTATTTTCTTATCCTGACTTGAAAATTCCTATTCAAATCAGAAACTTCTGCAAAGAAGTGCTAGATGAAAACAGGAAATTGCCTTCCCTCTTCCTATGATTGCCCCACACCCTTGCTGCCCCTCCAAGAAATGCAGTCAGCCCTCATGTGGATAAGCTGTTGCTCTTACACAGCAGGTTTGCTGAAAGAGAAGATGTGAAGTATTTTGAGTTCTCACTAACTCCACTCCTGTTTATATAGACTGAGCACAGGGTAAACGTCTTTGGCTGACACTGGAGGTTTACTATTTGTCAGCTTGAGAGTGAACCAAATACTTCCAGTGATGCTTTCTGGCTTGGCATTGGCTGTCAGTTGTTACATGCCATCCTTCCTACAGTCAGGGCTTAAGCCTCTTAAGAGATGAGCAAAGGGGCTGGAGAGGTGGCTCAGTGGTTAAGAGCACTGGTTGTTCTTCCAGAGGTCCTGATTCCTGGCACCCATACGGTGGCTTACAACTGTCTGTACTCTAGTTCTCCAGTTCAAGGGACCCAGTCCCTTGTCCTCTTCTGGTTTTGTGGGTACCTGTCATGCAAGTGGTACATAGACATTCTTGCTGGCAAAACAACCACACACACAAAAGGTTAAATTAAAATATTAAGAAGAAGGTGCATATCCAGAGTTCTGTAGATAGTTTTAATAGTTGTCTAGGTGTATGTTTCTAAGTTTCTAATATGTTTACATTTTGATAAAAAAAATGACATTGTTATGAGGAAAATACAAAGCTTTGCAAAGTTTGTAGGTTTTTACCCATCTGTCAAAGCAGGGCCTTTTGTTTCAAGTTTGTAATTCCATTTACTCATTTAGACCAATCATGGTCACAATTTTCTTTCTCCCAGATTCATCATCGGGATGTCTAAAGGCCTCAAGTCATCAAGGTGCCATAGATGTTTATGTCAGCCAGCTGGGGGAAGTGGCGCTTACCTCACAGGAAGGTGAGCAGACTGCCATGTCACACTTGATGCGTAGTGTGAGGAAAGAATGAAGTCATATTTGGGAAACTGATGGGCAGATTAGCTACAGTGACTTCAAGAAATTTTCTTCTGTTAGATCCTGATTTAAACACTGGTATTGAACTGCTTAAGCCAATCAGAAATCTTTATGTTTAGGACAGGTGGCCATGAAGACAAACTTTCTTTTTATAGGACAAACAAACATGGTATTCTATTTTGACTGTTACTGTGGAATTTCTAATGTTCTGTGTGGATCTTTCGGTTTTTGTCATGTAGGAAATAGAGTATTCTTTGTAGGGAAAAAAGTCTCTAAGTTAGCCTTTCTTGGCAGCCTGTAAGAACCTGCCCTGCTGTCACTGTTGAACAGTACCTTCAAAGTGTGGTCCGGAAGCATCCCCATGAAGGTCACCAAAGCAGAATCCTGATGTACTTGTCTATATGATTTCTCATCCAGATATCTTAGTCAAGTATTTTATTCAAAATCGTATGCTTTCTATCCATTGGAAAGCTGAATGTGAGTTGTATGCATCTAAATAGTCACCTTAAATACACTTTTATCCCTCTGAAAACTATCTGTGCATGTAGACATACACATGTGTGCTGCAACAGGTGAAAGCAAGACATAGCTGTGTGAAGTGAGGTGCAGAAAATCAGGACTCTACTTCTGTAAGAAAGACTCACACAGATCAAGAACAACATACAGAACCTGTGTATTGCCTAGGATGGGACTGCATATTCCAGGGGTGGTACTTCCTCTCAGAAACTAGTTTCCCCTGCCATTAATTTCTATGTCATGTGACAGTCTTCTGTCCAGTCACGTGCTTTACCAGAGTCAGTGGAGAGCTACTGAGCACAGGGTAGAGCTGAAACAGGTGCTGACACACAGGCACAATTTCTCAGGATTCTGGCTTGTTTTCTTTAACATAGGATATGATCTTCGTCTTAGTTAAGGTTTCTATTGCTGCAACGAAACACCATGACCAAAAACAAGTTGGGGAGGAAAGGGTGTATTAGGCCTACACTTCAGCATTGCTGTTCATCACTGAAGGAAGTCAAGACAAGAACTCACACAGGGCAGGATCCTGGAGACAGGGGCTAACGCAGAGGCCATGGAGGGGAACTGCTTACTGGCTTGATTCCCATGGCTTGTTTAGTTCACCTTCTTATAGAACCCAGGACCACCAGCCCAGGGATGGCACCACCCACCATGGACTGCCCCACCACCACCACCATTGATCACTAAATGAGAAAATGCCTTACAGTTGGATCTCATGGAGACATTTCCTCAGCTGAGGCCCCTTCCTCTGATGACTCTAGCTTGTGTCAGGTTGACACACAAAACCAGCCTATACAATTTTGTCCTCACAAAACTGCTTTGTCTTAGTTACTTTTCTAATGCTCTGATAAGATACAATGACCAAGGCAAGTTATTAAATAAATCGTTGATTTGGGGCTCACAGTTTCAAAGCATTAAGAGTACATGATGAAAATGGAGGGAGCATGGCAGCAGTCAGGCAGGCATGAGTAGCAGGGAGCTTACATCTTGATCTCAAGCAGAGAGGGCTAACTGGGAAGGGTGTGGGCTTTTGGAACCTCCAAGCCTGCCTGCAGTGACACACCTCCTCCAACAAGACCACACCTCCTAATCCTTCCTACAGTTCCACCATCTGGGGACCAAGTATTCAAACACAGGACCCTATATATAGGACCATTTTAAAGTCTTAGTCACATAATTTTAATCTCGTGTGTGTGTGTGTGTGTGTGTGTGTGTGTGTGTGTGTGTGTTGTGTGTGTGTAGGGGACAGTGTAAGCCATGCCTGCTAGAAGCTGGCTACAGGTGTGCCTGACCAAGCCTGTCAGGGCGTGGTCAAGGTGAGTTCAGGATGACGAGTGATAGGGTTTTAAGGGGATGCAAGACACATGGGAGCCCCTTCTCTCTTGCCTGCCTGCCTTGCTGCCCCTGGCTTGCATTTGGCTGGTGTTTTTCTAATAAAGATTATCTTTATCCTAAGCTCCTTTTATTTCTCAGTCAGTGTGTGTGTGTGTGTTGTTTTTTGAGATAGGGTTTCTCTGTGTAGCCTTTGGAGCCTGTCCTGGTACTCGCTCTGTAGATCAGGCTGGCCTCAAACTCACAGAGATCTGCTTACCTCTGCTAGGATTAAAGGTGTGTGCCACAACCACTTGGCAAATTTACTCTCTTATGAAGCCCAACAGGGGAAACTATTAACCATGAATGTCACTAGTAACAGAATTTAAAACAAAAAGATTTTGAATAAACAACTCTTCTGTGAATATTATTTCTTGTATTGTGTTTTTTTAACTTTGAAATTTATCACTCTTCATCCACTCAAAATATTTTTTTATTTTTTTAATTTTTTAATTTTTTGTTTTATTTGAGTTACAAACAAGATTGAATTACATGACAATCCCAGTTCCCTTCTCCTTCCCTTCCTCCCCTACCACCTCCCCAACTAAAACCCTACCTATCGCATATCCTTTCTTCTAATCTACACCTGATTCAACCTTTCTGTTCCCTCATGACCTCTGCATCCTTCCTCTTCTTCCCTTCTCATTCTTGTAGCTCCCTCCCTCTTCTTCCCATGCTCTTAAGCTCAGGGGATCTTGACCCTTTCCCCTTCTCCAGGGGATCATGTATGTCTGTCTTAGGGCCCTCCTTGTTTACTAGCTTCTCTGGCAGTGTGGATT